TTTGCACACAATTGGGTTGTTTAGGGGTATTGAGATAAATACATATTCGTTATCTGCATTAAAAATGGAACCGAAATCCAAAATTTCATCAATTTTGGTACACTGGAACTATTTTAAATAAGTACGATTACATTAGCAAAAATCACCATCTTAGCGCCCCTTGGTGGGACTTTGTATGGGAGCGAGTTGTCAACGAATAGATTTAGTGTCAACGATCAAAAATTTAAATCTTTATTTAAAAATCGAGATGAATGTCTACAGGATCGATAAAAATATCGTTGTGGTCAGAAAACAAAGCTCTATCAGATGATATATAAAAATCGGTTTATTTTTCGAAGTTAAACAACCCAATTGACGGAACATAGTTCTTTTTGAAGATAGAATTATTATTATTATTATTTATTAGTGATACTTTATCACTTCTGTGACATTCGTGTCACAGTAGATAGAATAGAGTGTAAGCTTGTTATAGATATGTAAAAATGTAGATTTAAATGCTAGTAGTAAACTGTATTTATTTTAGCGTTGTAAAAATGAGGTGAGAAATACTCACTAAAAATCTCGGAATTAAAGTGTTGAATTGATTAGTGTTGATTCAAATCGTAAGCTTTACCTAATCTTCGCATATCTTTAGTAAACTATGAGCCTAATCTATCAATTACTTTAAAGAAAAATAAATTTCAACATCTGAGTGAAAAGTTATTAACAAATGAGCAGTTGGTGTGTACAACCATAGAGGTAACTCTAAGACTAGAAGGTCCCAAAATAACGTGCTCAACTTTTTGGCTCAGCTCTGGTACCATAGAGGTAACTCTAAGACCAGAAGGTCCCGAAGAAACGAGCTCAACTTTTTGGCTCAGCTCTGGTACTATCTTCGGTCCCAAGCTTATCGATTCACCCCTCGAAACATAGGAAAATCCACTAACCCCTCATTTTATCTGTCAAACTTTCAAAGCGAATCAAAACAAACATAGTGTACTACTGGAATTTATACTAAAATACGTCGATTTGCTTGAGACCAATAGGCTAGTCAAGTAGTGAGCCAATTTCAAATCGTTAGTTTCCATCGGTTGGTAATACGACATGCAATAAAAACTAAGGATACGGGATGAACTACATCAACTTACTAGTCGCAGTACATTTATGTCCCAACTCCATTTTCATTGAAATAATGAAAGCTTTTCTTTCACCCTGATAATTGTTAGATAAACAAGCGGTTGTTTGATTTATCGAATATCAAATCTAGTCCCACATGCACTTGCGGGCATTGTTGAGCGGAGTAATAAATTCGAGACAGCCAGACAATCAATATTCAGCGCCAGGTACCGTGACTCTTCCTTGTCCAGATTGATTCGTTTTCTCAGCTCTCGACTCTAGATCATCAATCATCTTATCGTTTTTTTTTTTTTTAATTTTAATCATCAACAGCTTTAAGCTGGGTAAACAAAGGGAACATATGAGGGGGTTATAAGGAAAGGGGTTCTAACAGAAAGTCAATGAAGAGAATCAATCAAAGTCACTTACACCCCTTTTCTTCTAACCCCCTCATATCTGGTTCGCTAATTTGGCTACCATCCGTTATCACCGGGAAATAAGGCAACGATAAGGGCTTTACAGCTTCGTTCGGATCATTATTGAGGTAGGCATTTTGATTGAGGATTATGTTGTTTATTTCTTATTACTTCTTCATCTTCTTACTCAGCTTCCTTCTCCACGTTTCTTCTATTCACATTTCAGTTGTCTCTTCCTACCACAATTTCAATTAACTTGCTGCAAGCTTTCTCCTACTTCCTTTTATCATAAAATCATAGCTCTTTGTTTGTTCGCGATTGGAGCGAATGTAATGTAGTAGTAGTAGTTTTTGTTTCATGTAAATCGCCCTACCCGATTACACAATCATTTAAAACCTCTACTAACTCCGAAGCGACCGCGAATAATCGTTTCCCAACACTAACAAGCTTTGATCATTATTTCCTTACGCTGCCGCTGGCTTGGCCGAGCGACGACCGACCGACTGCAAACCAACGAGCGAGCAGCGAGCGCTGATTGGTTTGTGTATGAAAGGGGAAAGGTAGGAAAGAAGAAGACAGCCAAACATTTTTAAGGCAACGCTTATAGCGCGAATACTCCTGCAGATGCTGGGTATTGGAATGATAAAATAATGTATCTGAGTAGAAATGTAAGAACAAATGACACAGTCATCGCTACAGTTCTTGATCCAATCTTTCTTTTAAAGTGCGGAAACAAGTATATATTCTCAGGAGGAAGTGCAGAAGCTGAAGACTGGCATCTTGCAAATACCTCAGAGCACGGGCTGACAGAGGAATTCATGACAGAAGCCTATGTGTCGCCGGTTGCTCCTGAATCCATCAAGATAGAAGAGGAGATCCGGGACTACATGAGTCCGATGATGTAGATGCGTACAAGAAATACGCCATCAAGATGATCTCATTGGATCCAAAGACAAAGGGGTTTCGAATCTCTTCCACCCTCATCTCATCTCTGACTCTCGTTTCTCTCAGATCCATTTGCAAAGACAGCACGTCCATTCGTAATGCTTACGCTAAAACGCAATTCAGGCAAAATCTGGCTAATTTGATCACATATGATGTCAGTCTTCCTTGTCATCCACCGAGCAAGGAGTATGTGAAGAAGGTTGTATTGTCCTTTGGGAATGCCAATCTTGTCATTCGGAATATATTTGCTCTGATTGTGCATGTTGCAGTCGCCGATATAGAATGATCTCCGGAGACCATCGTCTACAAGTCCTTGTTCGATGCTACCGTTTTAACTCATTACTGCTAGGAATTGAATGGGAATGATGACCCTATTGAAGACTCACGCAATGGAAGCCAGAGTGGGAATGGCAGGACATTATGAATGCAACTCTCATCACCCAAACCTTGAAGGCATGGAAAGCAATTTCTCGTTATCTTGCAGCTTGTTGCAGAAAAGGAGTTGTAGTGGCTTCAGCACCGTGGGCAAGAATCATTTCTGATGGTTACAACCGAGGACTTGCTCCGAAGAATAACCGAAACCTGGCCGTAATACTGGCTTCATGTCCTCAAAAGCAGATTGGAAATGAAATCTGGACGGCAGAATTGAGCAAGAATATTGGAAAGGACTATGATGATATGAAACTGTACTCTCGTCCAAACCTCCAAGACATTACGGCTGATGCTGGACATGACACGGTTATCAAGATTGCCAAGAACATGAAAGTCTCGGGCAAGACAGGAGATATTCCGGATATCAACATTCCTCGTCCTGAGGAGGATGATTATGATCTGAATGAGTCAGACTATGAATAGAGTTGTTCATAACTATCTAGGATTTCAGGAAAAATGGACACTGGAGATGATCAGCCCTATTCTGCGAGTCACGTGACTCTCTGTCACCGGTGAGGTGACAATAGTCACCTCGTGTGAGGTGACTCTCCATTTGATTTACACGGAGAGTCACCTCACACGAGGTGACAATTGTCACCTCACCGGTGACAGAGAGTCACGTGACTCGTAGAATAAGGGGGGATGTGGCATTCCTCGGCTCGGAGGATTCCAGCAGATTTGGTCAATTCCTTCTGTGGGAATGCCAACAGGAACACACAGGAAAACTCAACTGAAAATTCCAAGTTTCCGGTTTGTCCAAAAGAAAATAAAGACGGTTTAATATTTTCAACGGCGCTATAATTCGGTGTACTCTTTACAAAGCTTGTGAACTGCGTTGCCTTAAATATGTTTGGCTGTCTTCTCCTTTCCTACCTTTCCCCTTTCATACACAAACCAATCAGTGCTCGCTGCTCGCTTGTTGGTTTGCAGTCGGTCGGTTGTCGCTCGGTCGGTGCTGCTGCTTGCATGCTCGTGCCAAGCCAGCGGCAGCGTAAGGAAATGATCAAAGCTTGTTTGCAGGGTCTTGACACAAATTCCCCCCTATTCTGCGAGTCACGTGACTCTTTCTCACCGGTGAGGTGACAATAGTCACCTCGTGTGAGGTGACTCTCCATTTGATTTACATAGAGAGTCACCTCACACGAGGTGACTATTGTCACCTCACACGAGGTGACTATTGTCACCTCACCGGTGACAGAGAGTCACGTGACTCGCAGAATAAGGGGGATTATGTTTAGTGTTGGGAACCAATTACCTGCGGTCGCCTCGGGTTTAGATTAGGTTTTAAAGGATTGGGTAATCGGGTAGGATGATTTACATCAAACAAAAACTGCTACTACGGCCCTTGGGCCTTGTTACGAGTGTCACTTCACGGTGAAAACGAAGTGAAGTGACCAGTTGACACTCACGGTGAAGTGATTGCCGTGTAGTGAAGTGACATCGGTAATAAGGGCCACTGTAATCACTTCACCGTGAGTGATAAGATGTCGAGGCTTATTACGGATGTCACTTCACGGTGAAAACTTGTCACTTGTCGTCACGTTGAAGTGATTCCCATTTGATTTGTACGGCAATCAAGGCTCTTATTATGAGTATCACTGTGTAGTGACGCCCGTAATAAGGCCCGTCACTACACCGTGAAGTGACATTGGTGATAAGGGCCCTGGGGCCTTATTACGGGTGTCACTACACGGTGATAAGGAAGTGATACTCAGAATAAGAGCCGTGATTACCGTACAAATCAAATGGGAATCACTTCACCGTGACGACAAGTGACAACTTTTCACCGTGAAGTGACATCTGTAATAAGCCCCCTGGTCACTACTTCGTTTTCACCGTGAAGTGACACCCGTAATACGGGTATACTACTACTACATTACGTTCGCTCCAATCGCGAACATTGTTCGTCTAGTACGATTGTAAAGTTAGCCAAATCATTTTTTATTTATTTTTTAAACAAAGCATCCTCCTCCTCCTCCTTTTCCTTCTTGGGGAAGCGGACTACTACCGAAAATTTCAAATTTTAAGATATCTTCTTTCATTAATCGAACCAAATAAATAAAAGAAAAATAGTCCACAGAAATACACGTACTCAGTAAAACGGGGAAGGCGAGAAAAGGACGAAATTTATAAGATTCGCTTACTTCCTCCTTCATATTCGAAGCGAAAGGAAACTCAATGCGTCGAGCAGCGCATACGACTGGCGGGTTTGGGGGATGAGGGGGACATAAATTACCAACATTTTGCGCCTCAATTGTTGTTTTGTAGTGAAATGTACGATCTAGCGTTGCAATGAGGCACCACTCGGCAGCACAACCGAATCATCGCTCCTCCAGTATCAGGGTCTCCTGGGGGTAGAGCTTCAGATCCTTCAACGTATTATCATAGTCTAGCGCCGTTAGCTGGATGGAATTAGATATAGGATATAAGAATTTTGCAAGAAAAGATCGAAACAAAGACAGATCACTTACGTCTCTTCGCGGCCAGCTGGAGATCACCTTGAACTCGTCGACTAGGAACCCTTCGCCGATGATATAGTTCAGTAGAATGCGCAGTGGAGTGTCTGTAAAGAAGCGTCGTTCCAGCATCGACCCGGTCGGTGCCCTTACCCTAATTTTGGTTATGTTCTCCCCGATGGTCTGCTCCGGTTCGGGAGGAACGGTAATTCGTGCTTGTGCCCGGATCATCTCTCGCTTTGCTTCGGCATCGGCCCGCTCGGATTCCAGCCGGCGACGCTCGCTTTGCACCATCAGCTCCTTTTGCCGTTTGGCTTCCTGCTTGGCTCGGTCGGCTTCCAAACTTTCACGATAGGCAGTGTCCTGCTCGAGTTTCACCTGCTCCCGAGCTAACCGTTCGTTCTCCTCTCGTAGTTCGATCTTGAGCTGCTCACCGTACATGTCTGACGCTTCCATCAGCTGCGACAGCAAATCATCCACACTGACATTACCTGCAGAGAAACGCGTTGAACCCTCAATTCGTGCACGGGCCACTTTGTTTGTGCCACTAATAAATAATCCATGGCCACTTACCATAGATCACCTGAAAAACTTCGCACTGGCTACGATTTTTCGCTATCACAAGAATGGCTGGCAACCGATCGGTCGGAATGTTTCGAACCGTTATCGAAGCGGTCATTCCAACGCAAGCCGATATGGAGGACAGAAACCTGCGGTGATTTGGAAGGCATATCGTTATAGATTTGAGCAACTCTAATTAGTACATGTCAACTGCCACTTACATATTTTTATTGCTTTCAAACGTCAGATCCCACCCGTACAGAACGAAGTGATCCAACAACATCTGGATAATACTCTCACACGCCAACAGTTGACCGCAGAAGACGTTCGTCAGAACACTGCCGTCGTGGTGAAGGTAGATCGCCAACAGTTTACGCTGTTCCAAAAAAATGATTTTCATTAATATAAGAAACTCTTGCTGAACTAGCTTGATGAGTGCAGCACTTACATCCCGAGCTGATGGACGGCAAGCTTCCTTCAGTGCATCCTCTAGGCTACCCTGGAAGAACATCGGATGCTGGGGTCCATAGCGTTCGACAAAGTTCTCCACGAACTGTATGCTACCGATGGCTTCGTCGTCTACATTGTCAGGAACTGGGAGAAAAAAGGAATCCTGCTTAGTCAATACCTTGAGAGGATTTTAATCATTTCATTTAAACTTACTCAAATGCTTCAAGTGGCTGTTGATAGGCGTTTCTGTGAAGATATCATCATCGTTGTTGAAGTCCGATGCATCCTCAAACTCTTCGCTGCTTTCCGAATCGATAATGATGGGCATGCTGGCATCACTGGAAGGCAATGAAAAAAGATCAAAAGTGATCGTAATTAGGGATTAAAATGAGTATGTACACTTTTTGAAAATACGAGCTTTGTGTACGGTGCGCTGAGCACCGCCTAAAAGGTTCTGTCCCAAATACTATCACCGAGTTCGTGGACCAATACCAGGTTGAATTCAAGGATGCCGCGCTTCCATCACGGATCAAATTTTCGATAAGTTCTGTAGAAATGATCCGAATACAACGTGCTTACAGATAATTTGTTCATCGCTTTCAAATCAGCATACAACACTATCGATCGAAACGAGCTATGACAGATATGTTGAGGCCCGAATGACGGTTTCCGAATAAACTGGCGCCATTTGGTCAAGGCTACGATAGATCGAGTGATAAGCATTGCTTGAGTATCGGGAACATAGTTGGAGATGCTTAACGTTAGATATCAGACTTAAAGTGGTCAATTTATACGATAGATGTGGAGATGAATGTATAGAGTTGATAGTTGAAAATTGTATATAGAGAGTAGAAAGCGAGCAAAGGTCAATTTTGAGGAAGGAACGAATCGGGTTGATCATCTCCTTTATCAAACTCCCCTGTTGTATTTTAAGGATTATTGCTTTACTCCCGGTTCTTCCGTAGAATTCCCGGGTTTTCCCGTTTTTTCCGGTTACTTTTCAAATTCCCAATTATCACCCGGAATTTCCCGGTTCGCTGGCCATCCTGCTAGAATTAATTAAAATTGTATACTTTCATTTGATCTAGAAATGACGCTGTCCGGAATTCTAAATTATGCTTCAAATTAGCGCATGAGCATGATTGACCGCCCACGGTTGCTACTCTGTTATTGCCAGATCAGCTGTAATTACACAGAGAACCAATAGCCAAATGCTTTAGGCTAGCAATCATCCTCAATGTGTAAAAACTGGTGGTCCCAAACTAGGCAATACCAGCGCCGGCCGTGCCCGAATGCAGGTCAAGAAAGGAATGGGAAGGAATGTGTTGACGTGACACTCGCTTTGATGGGGGCTGAGAAATTCAATGCTGACCGATCTTCCAACACTCCTCCCCACCAACACAAAAAAAAACTTCACTTCCTCTTCCAAACAAGCAACAAACGACTAAATCTATACACCAAAAATAGTTCATTGTCCATTCCGGAGTCACTATTAACCTTGGCGTGCCCTAACGTCTAAATTTGCATAGATTTCAAAATTCAATTAGTTCTTAAAACATAATTTATCAATCTTTTTCTTCACAACAAGTTGCATTTTGTCGGGAATCTATTGAAGTTTTTGAATCCATCTGAAAACAGTTGGGTCAATACATGGTTCAGGAGTTATTCCGGTTCCCGTTGGGGTAACTTTTGGTCGGCATTCGGCTTTACTGTTCTGTAATAAGTCTACACACGATGAACATCATGTTTTCTCTTTCAAATGATGTAATTAATTATATGATTTGAGTAGTAGCTATACTGAAGATCCGAGAGATGTCGCCCCTTCAGTGGTAGGAAAATCATTTTTGCAGTATGGAGAATATCAGAAAATCCACGATTTGTGACTAAACATGCTTTCACAGAAGGAAACAAATAAACGAGTGTTTACCTTATCACAATAGTAATGTACTCGTGCAATTTTTGTGCATCTAAAACTACCCATAAAGATGATAATGAATAAAAACTGAAAATTTTCATGCATTTCCAAATGGTTTCCTACCATTCCCATACATTCGAAGTGACTGGCCCTCTGGATGTGGATGATGTCAAAAACAACAAAACATGATTAATTGGACCAGTGGCAGCTATACCGACGGTTCACGATCACACGTCGTACGACATATCAAACTTCATGGTTTTTCTTAACTCGGCGGGTAATGGATTTATTGAGATGACATGTTCACATTGGCCACCTCCGGTACCCTCGGGGAAGTGGTCAATTTTCAACAAGAATTGAAACTGCTCGTGCGACACAGTACAGTTCGGATGATAATGGCCTTATTGACATTCAACGGTCACGATAGCTCCCTCGGGCATGTTCCGGTGCCCCGAAGAAGTAGTCAATTTTCGACAAGAACCAAAACCCGTCGTTCGCGTATCAAACTTCATGGTTTTTCAGAACTCGGCCAGTAATGGCCTAATTGAGAGTTCACGGTCATATTGGCCATCCCAATAATGTACCAGTGCCCCCAAGGAAATTATTAATTCTTGAACCAATTTACGATTTAACGTAGCTCTGTCAGTTTATGCTTTATTGAGAGTTCACGATCACATTGAGGCTCTTGCGCATATTCCGGTGCTCCGAGGAAGTGGACAATTTCCGATTAGAACCTTGTGTATCATATAACATTTTATTATGGTACTGGTCTTATAGAGAGTTCACGATCACATTGGCCTTCCCGGGCATGTTCCGGTGTCCCCGGGTAAGCGGCCTATTCTCCACAAGAACCAAAGCACGTCATGCGACTTATCAAATTTTATGATTTTGCTGAACTTGGCCAGTAGTGGCCTTTTTGAGAGCCCACGATCCCATTGGCCCTCCCGGGCATGTTCCGGTGTCCCCGGGTATATTTTCAATTCTCGACAAGAACCAAAATCCATCGTGCGACATATCAAACTTCATGATTTTGCACGGTCAGTAATGGTGTTAGACAGTCTCATTTAATTGGCCCTTTCAGGCATGTTCCACTGCCCCTCATTAAATCCATTAAAACCATGAAGTTTGATATGTCGCACGATGGGTTTTAATTCTTGTTGAGAATTGGCCACTTCCCCGGTGCACCAGAACATGCCCGAGAGGGCTAATGTGGCCATGGACTCTCAATAAGGCCATTACCGGCCAAGATTTGTAAAATCATGAAGTTTGATATGTCGCACGATAGGTTTTGGTTCTTTTCGGGGGCACCGGAACATTTCCGGGATGCCCATTGTGATCGTGGACCTTCGGTATAGCTGCCACTGGTCCAATTACATCATTTGAGACAAAAAAAACATGATGTTCATCGTGTGTATACTTATTACAGAACAGTAAAGCCGAATGCCGACCAAAAGTTACTCCAACGGGAACCAGAATAACTCCGGAACCATGTATTGATCCAAATGTTTTCAGATGGATTCAAAAACTTCATTACAATCCCGACAAAATGCAACTTGTTGTGAAGAAAAAGGTTGAGAAATTCTGTTTTTAGAGCTAATTGAATTTTGTAATATATGCAAATTTAGACGTTAGGCACGCCAAGGTTAATGTCTTGTAAATCTCGGAAAAAATAGAAAAAAATAATCATGTCAGCTCTTAAAAAGCCAACCGACCGTCAGTAGGGTGTAGCCGGCCTGGGCGATCCGTCTCTAAAACGTGTGACTCCAGAAGGGAGACAACACGCCCAATGTAAATTTGCTCGGTTGAGACTCTGCTAAGGGCGAGTCCATAAAATTTCCTAGGCAAGGATCAGGCAAGCCGGCTTCCAACTAAACGTCCAAACAGGGAAGCCCTATTATCCTCATGACATTACAAACACGATAGTCACTCAGAGAGTCAGTGAGAGCTCACCCATACCAAAAAGATCTCTACGAAAGAGAAGTTATCCTCATCGGCAGTCTCGTCACTTGCCACTAGACGTCGCTCCGATCTGGAAGTGGACTACTCTCCCCAACATTGAAACTCTCAAAAAGAGGATGGGACACGGAACTACAACGGAGAACGCGAAGTGATGTCGCATGCATTCAATCAATCAAAACTGGGAGATGGTCGTATTACGGGAACATTTATTTCGACGAACCATCCAGGCTATATGTATTTTCTAAACGATTGTTTCAACACAGACAAACAGACGTAACTCTTCATTGTGTATCTTCGTGCTCGCATTTAACGGTTGATTTGAATATTATGAGTTCCGCGAACTACTCGCCGCAGCGCTGGCATCGGATCACTTTGACGTTTCTATACATTCTATAGAATTTTAATGCAATATTGTTTGTGAGTTGGCGAGCAAGCTTGTTTTCCGCGAGAAGCCCGAGAGATGTCGTTACTGAGGTTCTATGTTTTGAGATACTATGTTTTCAAGGATAACTTTTTTCAAAGAGTTACGTCTGTTTGTCTGTGGTTTCAACATTATTATTCTATGTATTTATTTACATGTTCTCTCTATCGACTTCTTGTACTTCTCTTTCCTATGTGTGTGCGATTTCTCTCTCCCTAACTAAGTGCTGTGCTATTACGTGTCATGTGTGTGACGTCACTCTACGGGCAACTTAGCTCCAAACGAGTCTGCGCTTCTGGTTGGCGTTGAAAAGGTTTACAGGCGGGAATGCCACATCACGAGTTCCGGAAAAGCGTGTCACGGAAAATCGGCGCTACTCGCTCCTCAGTCTTAGACTGGCAAAAAAATCACTCCGTGGCGCCCTCGGCGGACGCCACACTCCAAAATGAAAAGGGCTTGACTCACCAGATGATCGTTGGCTTACGCGATGGTCACAGTCGATGACCTATCGACGGGTTCGACGCACTCGTTAGTGATCGTCGATGGTGATCCGATGAATGCAGTTCGCTGACAATGGCGTTTCACACGTCGATGCGATGGCGGTTACTCTGCCGTGCCGGTAATTTGACGGTTACTCTGCCGTGCCGGTGAGTCTCCTCGGACCGATTTAGAGACGGATCCGTCCGCTTCCGACCGGTTGGCGATTGCCGGGAAAATTCCGTCCGTCGGGGAGAAGTTGCTGCGCTTGGGTACGGCAAATTTGCTGCGAACGATTAATAGAACTCGGCTACACCAGAACAGTGAGCACAAGCACGAGCACGGACATGGACAGCACATTTGAGCACATCAAGTTACCTATAATTCGATAGCCTATCTCCTGATCGCAATTCCTACGCGCACACTTTAGTTTCTACTACACACTTTAACAACCACCACGAACAAACGCGCACACTTCAAGCTCGTTGGGAAATCACGGACGAAATGATCGACTGTGAGTCCTCAGATTAAGGAAAGTAAAGCTCGGACGAACCCTTCGTGTCCTA